ATTTGGCCTGTTGGGTCTTGTTGCTCCTCAATTGGCCATGTCCAAATTTGAAAGAAGTCCCTAATTTCAGTCTTCTAAATGAATTTCCAGGATGTGAGGTATCCATTTTTTTTTCCTTTCTGGAGGTAAAGAAACCTGAGATTACATAGGCAGCCGTGAAGCCAAAGCCTTCTGGCAGCAGATCCCAGGCATAGCCCGAGGAGACTGAGTCTGAGGCTGTGGCTTTGGTCAAGGCCATGTCTCCTCCTCCTCTTGATTTCTTACTTAATTCCATGTGGTTAGAGACTATACTTAACATGATTTCAGTCCTTTGAAACTTCTAGAGACTTTTTTAATTGCCCAAGCTTACAGTTTTTCTGTAATGTCCTTTTGTTTGGTAGAACATTCTATAAATGTCAGATAAACTTGATTGAAGGTTGTTCATTGCTTTCTGTATCCTTCCTGCTTTTGTACTTATTCTATCCATTATTGAGAGAGGGGTATTAAAATCTCTGGCTGTAATTGCAGATTTATCTATTTATCCTTGAAGTTCTCCCAGTTTTTGCTGTGAAATAAAATACATGAATATTTTGAAGCAGTGTTTTTTAGGTGCACACAGTACATTTAGGATTGTTGTATCTTCTTGATGAATTGATCCTTTTATCTTGGTTTAACGTCCTTTTTTATCCCTGACAATATTCCTTGTTCCGAAGTCTGCATTTTTTATGTTAATGTAGCCACTCCTTATTTTTATTATTAATGTGTATCTTGTAGACAGCATAAAAATTAAGTGTTGCTATTTAACCAGTCTGTCAGTCTCTACATTCTAATTAGAGTGATTAGACCGTTTACTTTTTAATATAAATGTTGATTTGGTTGGTTTGATTTAAATCTACCCATCTTGCTACGTTTTTTCTATTTGCTTTTCTTTTTTTTCTTTTCTTTCTATTTTTAGAGAGGGAGAGAGAGGGGGAGGAGGGGTAGAAGGAGAGGGAGAGAGAAAGTCTTGAGCAGGCCCCTCACTGAGCACGGAGCTTGACTCCGGGCTTTATCCCACAACCCTGGTAACATGACCTGAGCCGAAATCAGGAGTCAGCTCAACTGAGCAACCCAGGCGCCCCTCTGTTTGCTTTTCTTTTTGTCCTAGCTAATCTTTTCTCTCTTTTCTTGCCTTATTTTTGATGAATTGAGTATTTTTTAAGCATTCCACTTTATCTCCGTTTTTGGCTTATTAATGATACTGCTCTCTTTTTTTTTTTAATTTATTTATTTATTTGAGAGAGAGAATGAGAGATAGAGAGCACGAGAGGGAAGAGGGTCAGAGGGAGAAGCAGACTCCCCACTGAGCGGGGAGCCCGATGCGGGACTCGATCCCGGGACTCCAGGATCATGACCTGAGCCGAAGGCAGTCGCTTAACCAACTGAGCCACCCAGGCGCACAATACTGCTCTCTTTTTTTAGTTGGTTGCTTCAGGGTTTACAGTGTGCAATTTTAACTTATCATAGTCTACCTTCCAGTGTTATTCCATACTATGAATAATGTATAAATCTTAGAATAGTTCATTTCTTTCTCCTATCTTTTATGCTCTTGTTGCCATACATGTATCAACTTTATATTTTACTTATAAGCCCTGCTACTGTTAATATTTTTGTTTTGAGTCGTCATGTATTTTTTTCATTATTATTTCATTGTGAAGCACCCATAACATGACACTTACCATTTTTAAAAAATTTTAAGTAGGCTTCACACCCAACATGGGGCTTGAACTCATGACCCTGAGATCAAGAGTTACATGCTCTACCAACTGAGCCAGTCAGGCATCCCCCATCTTAACTATTTTTAATTGTACACTTGGGTGGCATTCAGGACATTCACTTTATTGTGTTACCATCACCACCATCCATTCACAGAACTCTTTTCATCTTGCAAAATTGAAACTGTACTTATTAAACAGCCCCCCATTCTCCCCTTCCCCCAGCCCCTGGCAACCAGCATTTCACTTTCTGTCCTTCTGAATTTGACTACTCTCAATACCTCTTAGAAGCAGAATCATACAGTATTTGTCGCTGACTTATTTCACTTAGCATAATGTGCTCAAGATTCATCCATGTTAATTTTTTGTGGAATCATCATCCTGTTTTCCTTAGAGGCTGCACCAGTTTACATGTCCACCAGCAATGCACAGGGTTCCAGTTTCTCTATCAGTCACATTTTAAAGCAATAAAAAATAAGAAAAAAAGTTCTTATATTCACTCACATACTTACCATTTGCTCTTCTTTCTTGTAGATCCCTGTTTCCATATGATATCATTTTCTTTCTGCCTGAAGAATTTCCTTTACCGTTTCTTGCAGTGACAAATTCTCTTAGTTCATATTTGTTTTAGTTTTTGTTTTGCCTTTATTTTTGAAGGCTTTTCCTTTTGGATATATAATTCTATATTGGTAGCCTTTTCTCATTTAATACTTTAAATACTTTGTCCCATTGTCCTCTGGCTTATTCTTTGTTATTATCTATGTTTCTTTTTCCTCTAATGGCTTTTAAGACTTTTTTTTTCCAGTGACTGGATGATAGTATATCTTGGTGTGGTTTTCTTTGTGTTTATCCTGCTTGGGATTTGTTGAGTTTCTTAGATTTATGGGCTTATAGTTTTCATGAAATTCAGAAAATGTTCAGCCATTATGTCTTAAAATATTTTTTCTATTACATTCTCTATTTCTAGGACTCAAATTAGATATATATATTAGACCACTTGATATTGTTTAAAGTCACTGAAACTGTTCCCCCCCCCCCAAATTTTTTCTCTATTCTTCAGTTTGGATAGTTTCTGTTGCTTTGTCTCCAAGTCACTGATCTTTCCTTTTGCAGTGTCTAAATGCTTTTACTCATATCTGGATAGTTTTTTTTTTAATTTGAAATCGTGTTTTTCATCTCAAAGTTGCATTTAGTTCTTTATATATATATATATATATATATATATGTATATATATATATATATAAAATCTCTTCTCTTTCCTTCACAGTGTTCATTTTTTTCTGTAAACCTTTGAACATGTTGGCATATTTAAGAAGACTTAATGTCCTTTGCTAATTTTGTCAATTCTGTCATTTCTTTCTATTGAATGGTTTCTTTCTTGGTTATTGGTCACATTTCCCTGCTCCTTTGCATCTTTAGTGACTTTTTAACGATTTTATTTTTTTTTTAAGATTTTATTTATTTGAGAGAGAGTGAGAGAGCCAGAGAGTGCACAAGTGAAGGGGTGGGGCAGAGGCAGAAGCAGACTCCCCACTAAGCAGGGAGCCTTACTCAGGGCTCAATCCCAGGACCCTGAGATCATGACCTAAGCTGAAGGCAGATGCTTACTGACTGAGCCACGCAGGTGCCCCTATTTATTTATTTTAGAGAGGGGGGGAGACAGTGCCCTTGAGGAGGGGGGAGGAGAGAGAAGATCCCAAGTAGACTCTGTGCTGAGGGTGGAGCTCAACTTAGGGCTTAGTCTCACGACTCCAAGATCATGACCCGAGGCAAAACCAAGAGTTGGATGCCCAACTGACTGAGCCACCCAGGCACCCACATGTTTAGTGACTTTTGTTTTTTTTTTTTTTTTTAAAGATTTTATTTATTTATTTGAGAGAGAGAGAGAGAAACAGCATGAGAGGGGAGAAGGTCAGAGGGAGAAGCAGGCTCCCCGCTGAGCTGGGAGCCCAATGCGGGACTCAATCCCGGGACTCCGGGATCATGACGCGAGCCGAAGGCAGTCGCTTAACCAACTGAGCCACCCAGGCGCCCCTGTTTAGTGACTTTTGATGTGATACTGAACAAAGTGAATGTTGTAGATATGAGCGTTTTTGAGTGTGTTTGTCTTATTTTTTCTGTTAGCAATTAAGTTACTTGTTTACATCAGCTTGCTCCTTTTAACCTTTTTTTTGTATAGGTTTAAAATTAAAGTGGCCTTTACTGCAAGGCTAATTTAGCTGCTAAGGTCTTACTCTATTGGTATCTCTACCAAAAGCTGTGATCTCTGGTTGGTTGAAATGCAAATATCTCCCAACTGTGTGTGAAATTTTAGAATTTCTCATTTTTCAGTTCCCTGGTTGTTCTTTGCCCAGTCTTTTGGAGTTAAACTTTTCTCATGCTTTTCTTAGTATTCAACAAAATCTCAAGGGGAATCCCATTCAGATTTATAGAACTCTTTCTACATAGTTCCTTCCTCTCTGGAATTTAGCACCTTGACTTCCAGCCACTTCAGTCTCTCTTAAATTCTGTCTCTGTTTTATAATTTAAGCAAAACCACCATGTTGTACTTTGGATTTCCTTCCCTGCATTTGGTCCCAAATGTGCCTTCAGACAGAAATCTGGGACAGTTACACATTTAGGTTTATAATCTATTTCAAATTATTTTTTTAAAGATTTTATTTATTTATTTGATACAGGGAGAGAGCAAGCACAAGCAGGGAGAACGGGTAGACAGGGGAGAAACAGCCTCCCTGCTGAGCAAGGATCCCGATGTAGGGCTTGATTGACCTGAGTCCGATGTGGGGCTCAATCAACCTGAGCCGAAGGCAGACACTTAGCTGACTGAGCCACCCAGGCACCGCTCTATTTCAAATTAATATTTGTATATGGCATGAGGTTGATGTCAAGGTTCATTTTTTTCTGTATAGATACCTATTTGTTTCAGTACCATTTGGTGAAAAGACTCTCCTTTCCCCATCAAATTATGTTGGCACCTTTATTGCCATATAAATATATGTGTGTCTATTTTTGGACTATATTTCTTTCCATTGATTGTTGTCTGTTTTCATACTAATACTATAATGTGGCTCTTGACAAGAATTTATGAAAGATCTAATGAGTGGTTCTGACATGAAATAAATACTTCATTTGACTTTATAATGTTTTGAAAAATAGATTTTGAGTTTGAATTTGAAATAGTGTTTCCACTAACTTGAATGCAGTGTTATGCTATGTTATTTAATAATTGAATGAAGAGATATATTTTAAACTTACTTGTCTTACAGAGACCTTTTAATAAAAGTGAAATTTGGAGAAAGCATTGAGGACTTACAGACCTGCCGACTCTTAATTAAACAGTACATCCCGACAGGACTTTTTGTGGATCCGTATGAGTTGGCTTCATTACGAGAGAGAAACATAACAGAGGTACAACTATTAGAGGATTTTTTTGAGAGAGAAATTATTTTAGGGATGCTATAATTTGGATTAGGAAAAAATAATAGACAAGACAACATTGTATTTTTTATTCATTTTGTTAAGGTGTGTAAAGTAACTTTTCTTTTTTTTAGGTAGGATGAGAGCATTCTTTAAAAAGTGAGTGATATGTGTCAAACTTGTCAGTAATAAGCCAACTAAACTGAGCTAGTTAAATGCTTTTTGTTAGAATGGTTCTTAGTTTCATGACTAAGAAAATTATATGTCTTTGAGAAGATTAATGATCAATAAATACTGCTTCAGCAGCATTTAACAATATTGTTTGAGTGACATATACATGAACACCTGTATAATTTGGATGTCAGGAAAGGAAACTGATACTATTGGCTATCTGTATGTCAGATATCTTCTTTTTTTTTTTTTAAGGAAGCAAGGTAAAATTAAGCATTAGAGAAAGATTATGAACCATACCCTTTTCATAGATCAATCTTTATAACAACCCTAGAAGTATTATTTCTCCATTTTATAGATAAGGAAACTGAGGCACAAAAAGGCCAGGTAACTTATCCAGGATCACACAGGTAAATGGAAGAGCCAAGAGATAAATCCAGGGCTGTCTAATTAAAAAGTTGTTGCTCTTTCCAGAAATGAATTTTATTCCTTAGTTAACGGGGTCTCTGACTTTTGGTAAAAATCACTTGGGGCCACTTTTTGTGCAGATTATGTCTTCCTGGGAAAGCTTAATTCAGTAGGTCTAGATTGGACCCCAAAGTGTGTTTTAACAACTCAGATGATTCCTATTAAGAAATTTTGGGAAGCACCGTCTTTATTCTTAAGATTATAATCTATATGTGAATATAAAAGAGGCAAAATAGGTATACTTGGAGTCATTTATGATGACAATTTATTTCTAATTGTGGTTTAGGCCAATTTCTTCACGTATTTTAATTATTTAAATTTTTTTTGAATAGGTAATTATATTCTCATGGTTCAGAATTCAAGAGGTATAAAAAGGTGTACAATGATGAGCTTCCACCTATCTCAGCCCCCATTCACCAAGTTTCTTTGTGTGTTCTGGGTTTTTTTTGTACATATATAGCAGTTTAGATAAACAGGTTCACATATATGGCAGTCTCAGTAAATATATACATGTGGAAGTACCTCATTGCTTTTTTTTCCTCATTTCTTTCTTTCCTTCACTGAGTCATGAATTCTGAATGAGGCTTTTAAAATTTTAAATAATAGATTTCAAATTTAAATGTGGTTCTTGGCTTGTAGTGACATGGATTGGAATCATATTTAAACCTACTTAATAAAATTGCCTACCATGTTTTAAGAAAATGGAATTTTTTTGCATAGGAGTACCCAAAAAGAGATCACATGCCCCCCTCTTGGGATAAGATTGGGTATGTGCAGATTAATTGTAACAAGAAGACTGGGCAGGCAAAGGATGTCACTCTGGATTGATTGACAAACTTCTCTTTATCTTAATTTTCTGTTTCCTAATCTTCTAATCCCTAATTATAAGCCTTTTAAGTGAATTTACTTTTTCATTTCAAATAGATGTCTCATTTGTGACACATAGATAATTAGAAGTTGATTTCCTGATATATGAGATGCTATTTCTTTCTGCCTAGCTGTTGAGACTGTGGCCTGATTCTTTGTGCAGAGAAACTTTGTCTCAAGAAATGGTATTAAATGATGAATATAACTGGATAGAAGGAAATTTTTATGTAGGGAATGATTGATACTTATGTATGTAGATTGAGATCTTGACTATTCCATGAGATAAAATTTGTGACTGCAGCAGATAGAACAATGGGTTCAAATTAAATGAGTGATGGTGGCAATAAAATGTTTTGTAAGGAGTTTGTGATGGTTTGTGAGCAATTTGAAAATAAAGACAAGCCTTAAACAGAGTCACCATGAATAAGGCACTTCAAATGAATCTCACTTCATTTTTAGGTAGGGCTATTTGATATATTTAATCAAAATATCTCACATTCTTTGAAAACAGCATAATATTAGATTGAAGCATATGAAATTGCTGTTCTTTCAGTCAAAATGGAAATGCTATGTTTTTGAAATCATAAGTTTTACTCAATCAAAATGTGTAGTATTAGGAATTATGCCCTGACCAAGTTGGAGGACAGGGACCAGATTTACTCTCCCACTTGAAACAACCAAGTATTAGACAAAATATATGAAATAATGGAAAAGATCATTGAATATCAGGCAGTGAGGGCAGTGATATCTGAAATAAATGGAAAACAAATAAGGTGAGCTCTAGGACTGTCCCAGCTTACTGCCTTGGAGAGTTTTCAGGCTGTAGTATAGGGAGCAAGAACCCAAGCAGAGCCTAGTGGATTTCTTGAGTTGATGAGATGAAGGTGAAATTCTGGGAAGACCAAGGTCACCAGAATTCACAAGGCAGTGTAGCAGAGAGAAGAGAATTGCAGAGATAACTCCAGAGATCCATAAAAGGTTCCCCTCAAGTACATAGTTGAGTATTGATTAGTGCATGTGTGTGAGGAAACTACTTGCTTCTGGGAAAAGAACCATATGAAAATTTAGAGGTTACAGTGTCAGACACTCACATAGGGCCAGTAGTAGTGTCTGTTCCCAGCAACCATGCTAGGAAAAGCCTCATAATTCATTGGGCATTAGGTAAACAGAAGAACTTTTACTCGGTAGTGGGGGATATTTAGCCCTAGCCTGAACATAATGGCATTCCTGTTTAACAAATCATAAAAGCACAACCTTTAAAAAGTCAAACTGTAAGTAACTTTACTGCATACAAGCAAAGCTCAAGAATACTTATAGGAATACAGAAATATCCAGCATCCAACAATATCAAAATCACAGTGTCTTGATTTTAATAAAACATCAGATGCAAGGATGGGGGAAAATATAGCCTGTAATGAGGAGATAAATAAATCAATCAAAACCAATCCAGAACTGACCCAGATGTTAGAATTGGGCTATGAAAACAGTTATTATAACTGTATTCCATATGTTCAAAAAACTAAGTATAGATGTGGAAGATATGTAAAAGGACAACAGTAAACTTGTGAAGATTAAGACTACAGTGTATGAAATAGAAAATATTCTGGATAAAATTAATGGCATTTTAAACATTGCAGAAGAAAAGATTAATGGACTTGAAGACAGTAATAGAAGCTACCTAAAACAGATTTAAAAAAAAAAAAGAAACATAAAAAGTGAATAGAGTAATAGTGAGTTGTGGGACAACTTCAAGTGGCCTACTATACCTGTATTGGACTATCTTGAAGAGATATCTCTACCCCCATGTTCCTTGCAGCAGCATTCACAGTAGACAAGCTATGGAAACAGCCTAAGTGTCCATCAACAGATGAGTGGGTAAAGAAAATATGTATGTAAATATATACAGTGGAATGTTATTCACCTAAAAAAAGAAGAAAATCCTGCCATTTGCTACAAGCTAAGTGAAGTAAGTCAGACAGAGAAAGACAAATACTGTATGATCTCATTTATATTTGGAATCTAAAAAAAACCTGAACTCATAGAAACAGAGGGTAGTTTGGTGGTTGCCAGAAGCAAGAGTATGGAATAAACAGGTGAAGGTGGTCAAAGAATACAGACATCCAGTTATAACATGAGTAAATTCTGGGGGTCTAGTGTATAGCATGTGACTATAGTTAACAATAGTGTATTGTATATTTGAAAGTTGTTAAAAGAGTATACTTTAAAAATGCTCATCGGGGGTGCCTGGCTGGCTCAGTAGAGCATATGACTCTTAATCTCAGGATCGTGAGTTTGAGCCCCATGTTGGATGTAGAGATTACTTTAAAAAGTAATAAAAGTTTTCACTGTACACACGCACACACACACATGAGAAGGTAACTATGTGTGATGATGGTTGTGCTAACTAACCTTACTGTGGCAATCATTTTGCATTATAAATGTATTTCAGATGATTATGTTGTATGCCTTAGACCTATACAATGTTATATGTCAATTATATCTCAATAAAGCTCAGTGTGGGGGGTGGGGTGGGGAAGGTGTGATTGGAATCTCCAAGGAGAGAAGAGGGAAATGGAGATGGAAAAAAAATATTTGAAGAAATAATGGCTGAGAAATTTCCAGATTTGATGAAAACTATAAATCCACATATCTAAGATGCTCAAGTACCAGAAACATGAAGAAAACTATACTGAGGTACATGATACTCAAATTGTTTAAAACAATGAGAATGAGAGGTGCCAGGGTGGGTCAGTCAGTTAAGTGTCTGACTTTGGCTCAAGTCATGATCTCGGGGTCCGGGGATTGAGCCCCATGTTGGGCTCCATGCTCAATGGGGAGTCTGCTTCTCCCTCTCTGTCTGCCCCTCTTCCACCTTGTGCTTTCTCTCTCTTTTTCTCTCTCAGATGAATAAAATCTTTAAAAAAAAATAAAACAATGAGAATGAGAAAAAGATTAAGTTATTTAAATTCCAGTTAGTTAACATACAGTGTAATATTAGTTTCAGGTGTACAAAATGGTGATTCAGCACTTCCATATATCACCCAGTGCTCATCATAACAACTGCACTCCTTAATCCCCATCACATGTTTAACACATCCCCCCACTTACCTCCTTTCTGGTAGCCATCAGTTTGTTCTCTGTAGTTAAGAAATCTGTTTCTTGGTTTGCCTCTCTCTCTTTTTTTCTCTTTGTTCATTTGTTTTCTTTCTTAAATTCCACGTAGGAGTAAAATCGTATGGTATTTGTCTTTCTGTGACTTACTTCACTTAGCATAATACCCTTCTAGCTCTGTCCATGTCATTGCAAATGGCAAGATTTCATTCTTTTTTATGGCTGAATAATATTTCATTATATTTATATACTACATTTTTTTTTTTAAGTAGGTTCCCTGTCCAATGTGGGGCTTAACCTTACAACCCTGAGATCAAGAGTCACATGCTCTACTACTGACTGAGCCAGCCAGGCACCCCTGCATCTTCTTTATC